GCCAGAGTTATCCTGTACTCCGTGGTGAGGCTGTGGATTCTGCTGATTTGTCACAGCAGTGTCAGGCCCGTATCTTCCGCGAATGACTCCCTGAGATGTTCCATGCTCAACCTGACCAGTGAAAATCCCCCCTGTAGGGGAACATCCGGGATACGTGTTGATGGTTCCCCTCGGAGCTGCTCGCCCGACTACGGGCGATGACATTGCCCTCGGCGGCATTGGCCCGGCGGCTCCGGCGTGGGAACAGAAACCAGAGTTTCCTTGTTGCGGTTCAGGACTCCGATGTGACGGATCTCCACGTGATGGCCCGGATCCAGGATCAGGAGCAGTGCCATCCCGCTGATTATGGTCAGGAATGCAACCAGGTCCTCCAGGTCCCGCGCTAGGGCCACGATGCTTAGTTTTCCCATCGGGGTCAGCCCTCAAGCAGCCGAGGCAAATAGGTCGAACATCTGACCCAAAACGGCGCACATCGTCAGGTGAAGCGATGTGTTGATCGCAGTACTCATCCTTGCATATGAGACACGTCACAAGTCCGTGTCTCCCCCCTCTTCCCCTGCATGCGCGGCATCTAGGAAACTGATCGCTACATTTGAAACATGAGTTACAATCATGGTCAAAGCAGTCTTCGCAGACTGACTTGCCGCAGCTTCGGCATGGATAGCGAGGTTCCCGATGCTGTGGATGCCCGGGCTCCTCATGAGCGCACCTGGCCCGGTTATCAGGGGCAGCGCCGGCAGCCCGAGCAACGGCCCTCGTTCTAGAGGGATCCCTGCCAAAGATGGGGGCTGATGGTGACGGTGGGGGTGGCCCTGAAGGAGGTGGAGGTGGAGGAGGTCTCGCCGAGCTGACGATGCGAGCATCACGAGGAGGAGAATGTGTAGGAGCCCTTCCCTGGGTTAAGGGATCAGTGTCTCCAGATTTCTCCCATGGCCCCGTCCCAGTGATCAAAGCAGCGCCAGCACTTGAAGATGCGCAGGCAGCAGGAGGTTGTTCCCTCAATTCAGCGATCTGCATGTTGATCTCATTGACCCTCAACACAAGCTTCATAAACTGCTCTTGCATGTCCCTCGGATAGGGGCCTAGGCTTTTATCATGAATATCCTTGACGCACCTAGCAATACGGGACAATTGAAGCTTCAACTCTTCCTGTTTCTGTGAGTTCTCATTGAGGGCTCCGGACATCCTATCACTGAACTGCTTCAGGTCGGTCGCAGGAACGAGCTGCTGGATATACGTCTCGACGTTCCCACGGATGGTTCTTTCCCTTGAGATGGTTCCCTCAATGTCAATGACACTGCGAGAGTTCGCCTCAACTTCGTCCTTGATTTTTCGAACTTCAGCCTCAAGGGCCCCAATCTCAGAGAACCTAAGGAGCTGGACCTTGACGTTTTCAAGTGACTCGGCCTGCTCGCGAAGTTCAGCAGCGGATATGACGATCGAGTTGGACCTCTCATCATACATCTTGAAACGCTCATTCATCTCCTTCTCGCTTCGGGCGACCCACTCGTGGAAATCACGGAATTTGGCCTCGTGTCTTGAGAGGGTTCCGGCAACGGCAGAAAAAGATGATTCAACCTTCTTCTCGAAGGCATCAACACGGTTATTGATCTTCTTGATTTCACCGACGCAAACGTTGATGTCATCCCTGCATGAACGAATCTCAGTTCTGCATCCCTGGATTTCGGCCTTGCATCCCTTGACCTCGTTGTGGATCGCGAGAAGCAGTCGCTGTAGCTCAGATGCAACCGGATGGCCGTCACTTGTGGATGCAGACGGGGCAGGACGACTATCAGCGTCATGAGCTCCACGCCTATTTTCTTCCCTGTCGGGAGTGCAGCCGGGAGTCCCGATTTGAAAGAATGCAGGGATGAGGGAGTTGCTGACCGGCTGATTTGATGGAAGCCCTCCATTCCCAGGGGCAACAGTGCTAAGTCCAGGTCTCCGGTTCCTGGGCGTAGAGTTGATCCCGTCATCAGTCTCCTTCTCAGACATCGGGGCATTGGAGCTGAGCCCAGACCCCGCAGAGTGGATAGGAACGTCAACAGGATCGTGATGAGCTGGGGGATTAGATCGCAATCGGAGGGCAGCTTCACGTCTTTCGGGTGACTCAGAGCTCCTCTTTGTGGCTCGCGAGTCAGTGCCGGTTTGTCCCGACATGTTATCAAACGATGACGATCCGCGATGTTGAGCTTGATCTGGATCAGGTTGAGTGAGATCAAGCCGTTGAGCAACGTCATCATTGAATGGCTTAGGGGAAAGTACTTTGGCAACGCGGCTCGGCGGGAGCGATGTCGTTCGTCTCTCTGGTGTGACCTCGGCCTCATCGATTACATCGAGGATCCCAGGGATGGTTTCATCATCTTCATTTCCTCTCCTGGGTGGCTGATGGAAGGGAATGTCGAGAAGGTCGAAGGGAGGAGAGCCAATACCAGGTGTATCCTGCTCGGATCCATCATGGTACGGTGGCTGGACTGCTCCTCGAGGTCGATGACGTCGGGGGCGGACTCTTTCCGAGTCTGATGCCGATTGAAGGCCGCGAAGAGACCGGCATGGCTTCTTGACGAAGTGGATGAAGGATTTGGGCCTGCTATTTCGCGGCCCGTGTCCGATCGATGAGTACCTGATGCTTGATTTGGCGGATTTGAGCCCGCGTTGTAGCGGTTCGCGTCCCGACCTCGGGTACCTGAGGAAAGCGGTGGATTAGGACCAGCGTTGTAGCGGTCCGCATTCCGGTCGCGGGTACCTGACAAGTGAGATGATACTGCATCAGGGATGAAGTCCATATCCGCCGGACTGGGGTGATCGTGAATGATGTCAATGTCGGATGAACCTGAGACAGGAGGAAGGCCAGCTATTTGCGGCCAATCCTCAATCGCCCGTTTGCCCGCCTCGGGTTGGGCCGAACCTGCAACTTGAGAAGGGGAGAAATCTTCAATGGGGTCATTTTCTCCATCAAGTGGAAAACCCTGAGTAGGTTCATGCATAGGCAGGGCATCAAAAGATCTGTCTATTCGGGAAGGTTGAGATCTCCAATCAGCATCAAAAAGGGATTGAAAATCCAGATTCCCGACCGACATGGGGGCACCCGAGTCGAAGTCGAGCCGACCGAAATCAGGCGGTGTAGCCTGCGATCCACTGCCGAGGAGCTGGTCAACCTGATCCCATGTAAGGGACCAAGATTGAGCCGGCTCCTGATGAGCAGCATGATGGGCAGCCCGGTCTTCGATCTGGAGTGCCACGAACGGAACAGTAGGCGAAATCGACGAGGGCACCTGATTTGGAGGAACCTCAGCCTCTTCTAGAGGGGGTCCGTCCTCGATCTGGAGCACTGCCGCCGGGATAGGGGCCTCCGCATCCTCATCAAACACGACCTGAGAAAGGATCCAATCGTCCGTGATCACCCCGGGATTGGGCTCTGCGCCCACCATCGGGGGAATGGGCCACAGCCGGCTGTCTAAGCCGGGGGCAGCAGGCGCGGCGTTGCCGCGAAGGGCATTGGCCTCGTCATCCACGAAGCCCGGCCCACGATGTGAAGCTCCGGGGGACGCCTCGTACAAGAAGGCGAGGGAGCAGTAGCGGGTCACGTCCCGCAACCGGATCACCAGCCCCAGCTTCTAGCTGGTACGGCTGATAACCTGCGGTTTTGGGCGGAAAGGGCGTTGCCCAGGGAATCAAAAGGGTTCACGTAATCCACGAAGAACCCAAAGAACCCGGACTCACGACTCAGTGGACTGAAGCCGATGACCAGGTTGAAGGACGTGATGATTAAAGTAGTAGTGGTGGAAGTGAAGGTTAAACAGCGAGTTACAATAGATCACCTTAACCAAGCCCAGGCAAGTCCTGCCGCAGCACCACCTACCTCCTAGCACCAGCCCACCCCAGCGCCGAGAATCCTTTCCCGGCGACGCAGCGAGATGCCGTGCTATGGCGAGTGCCGTGCTACCAAAACTAACCTGACGGGAGGTTAAACTTGAGCCAAACGGCCATTCGGCCGTTTTGCCATATGAAGAAACAACGACCAAGGGATGTTTGCACGTGCGCTGAAAATCACTGGCGTGCCAACCAGGTCATCTCCACAGACGATGGCCTGCACCTCTCCCTGGCATGTGTCCTTGGCATGGCGGCTACGATTGCTATGGTTCAACCTTACATCCAGCCACAGGCACGAGCCGTTCGCCAGTGGGCGGCCAATTTTGTATTGATGCTTTGTGAAGGGACGACAGACTGCGCGACGCCCCTCCGTGCCAGATGAACGAGCTCCACTTCTTTTCCTTGCTCTGCTCCTCCGCTGGACGTGATCGCAGTCAGCTCCGGGAGGGCGCGTGGGAGCACGCAAAGGGATGAAACAAACAACGTTTCCCCAGATTGCAGCCACAAGTTGACCTGTCTGCGGCAAATCACAAGCCTGTTGCCACTGCCCTTTTTCACCGATGGGATTGATTCTTGGACATGGTCATTGCAGCGTGAGGCCTCGCCGCGGCAGCTCTAGGATTTGCTGGAGCTGAAGCCGCGTTGCATTGCGGGTGTCTGTGCTGCTTCCTTTCCTGCTGGCGGCCGCGCAGGTGCGACATGACGGAGCTGTTGCTCCAGATTTGGCTACGTCTCAAGACAGGTCCAAAGTTAAGATAGAATCTGATAAATGGGAAGCTCCACTACAAGCAACAGTCCCCTGGTCCGCCTCTTCGCAAAATCATCCTCGGGGCGACGTGCGAATCTCTCGACGCAGCCGACGAGTCCGTTTGTTGGCAGGCGCTGCGTCCGGACAGCTGCGAGGCTTTGGCCGTGCGCCTCTTTCAGGAGAGCCCGAGAGCCGAGTGTGTCGGGTTTCGCCCATTGTGGGTTCGGGTTATGAGGCGCAACTTGCTCACAGCTTTTTGGCGGAGTTGGCAGATTCACCTTTCCAAGCCCATCTGTGCTTTTGAAAGTGTGTTTCTTTGACAATGGACAACCTCGTGCTAACTTCCGGTCTTCTGACTGCCTCCATTCTGCCATGCGGCGGTGACCAGTCCGACGGCCAAGAGCTTCTGCACCATCTCCATCCACACAAAGCGGCAGAAGGCCTTGAAACATGAAAGCCGGGCACCAAATTAACCACAACACGCTCAGCTTGGCAAAGAAAGTCGGCTTGCTCCGTGTTGCACTTGGCATGGGCCGGGGATAACCTGTTCAGTTCATTGCCCAAGGCATAAAGCACCAAAGAACGTCCACCTGCCGCCATGCAGCATATTTGAAGAATACCTCTTTAGCACCAGAGAGGAAGCCTCAGCTTTCAAAGCACGCCAACAAGTGATGCCATGTGACCCCGGAAAGCATGGCGCAATTTTGTGCATCCACGCGCAAAACAATCTGCGGGCTGCCGCTTGGGTGAAACACCGGGAAATCGTGGCGCAGCTTTTGAATTCGCCAGCCAACAATTAGTTTGTGGAAAGCACCGCCCACGTTTCCGAACTCCTCACGTTGCCTCGTGATCCTGGAAAATAGCTGGCTGTCGGGCGCTCCCGGATTTGTGCCAAGGCTCGGTCTGATTTGGAGGCCTTCTCCATCTCACAGCGCTCCACCAGCATCTTCATGATGGCGCGTGAGCGGAGCGTCGTCGCTATTTCATCTCCACTGTCCAAGAAGCTGCTCACCTGAGTGCGCAAGCAGCTTAGTAGCCCACTAAACTGCATCCAGACCTAGCGGGAATACTGCAAGCAAATGCCCATTCTTGGAGCTCCAAAAAAACAGGCCAACCATCAACTAGCGGTGATAACGAGCTTGAACTCAACTCTGTGCTGGGCTTCGATGCAATCTGATAACTATGTTTGCGGCCGGTTTGCAGTTAGCTCAGCAGCTGCTCGTCCTTCACTCTCTGGTGTCTTCATCTCCCTCAGCTGGCTCGGCAACGTGCAACTCTGGGAGTTTGCGCTGCACAGCATGAGGTTCTGTCAGCCAAGAGACGCCTGGCCATCTTGCAGCTGCAGCCAAACCTGATACGAGTGGCTTGTGTGTGTGTGCATTTGTGCGCCACCCCTCCGCCAGTCATGGAAAGCCCCGCCACGTCAACCAAATTTGCCTGACTTCGAACAATCCCTTCACCCCTTCGTTTGTAACATTTGACAAGCATGATGGGCACAACAACGGGGCACCCTGCACCCTGCTTCAACGATACTCAAGCAAACCTTCCTGGTCGTAGAGAGCAGGGATTCTTGGCAAAAGAATACTTGCAGACCTTGTGGGGTGGGATACCGGCAGGGTGCCAGTGGGATTTTTTGCAGAAAACCATAGCTGTCGGGTGAGGCAAATCTGAGAGGTCGCACAAATCCATCAAGGTCTAGAATGAAAGTACCGGATCCCAAGTATCGCATGGAGAAATGCGTTGGGTCTGGGCCACCTCGCCTTGCCCTGGAAAGTGACTGCCATGTGGGCCACTGCAGCAGCGAGGAGGTGCTCATCATTGACCTGTCACCGAGACCGGCTGCCCTCCATGCCTCGATGTTCGGCTGGCCGTGTCCACGACCGCTGACGACTCCCCCCGACTTGCAATTGTGCCGAGACAGCTCATCTTCCCTTGCGAATCGGAGATGGAAGGAACCCTGCGCCACCTTTTGCTCAGGATGTTGCATGGCATTCCAATGAGACCCATTTCATTCATCCGCCATGAGCGACTCGCTCCGGCCTCCGTGTGTTCCTCCAAAGCTCTAAGCGAGAGTAGCTTCGTGATCCAGCTCTTCTTCGCCCTCTTTGCATGAGCCGTGATGGTCTTGCTGGGTCGCCTCGGACTGAAGCTGCCTTTCAAAGCGCCCTCCATTTGCGTGTTCAACAAAGCACCCTTGACAGGCGGTAAGAGCAGGAACGCGCACACACACTTGGACTCCCTAAAAGGGAAGGCAACTATCTTCGAGTAAACAGGCAAGTCATTTCGGGTCTGTGCGGCTTCCCTCTAGTTATGTTGCCACGGCCAAGCAGTTCAGGGAATAGTAATGGCGGTCCACTGCCCCCCCTGCAAACGTTGGACCCTGGGTTCACCAGACACTTGGTACACACACACACAAACCGGATTGAAAATGTCATATTATGTCACGTGTCTGCAACTGACAACTGAGACATAATTCGCGTTGTCTGATGCTGTGTCTGGGTTTCGTACTGAATGATCAACAGTCTTTGGCATGGTGATTCATCCCTCCAATGTGTCCGGGGTTCCCATGTTGGGTCCAGGACTTGCCAAAGCTCAACCCCTTGGTTTCTGCGTGGTGCTGGGGGCCCACCTGCTTTGACATTCTCTCAGAACAAAAGCAAAAATCAAGTTGCAGGCGGAAAGAACATAGAATGAGGCAAGCTTCAGTACAGAGTGCTGACGCATGTACAGACACAGAAGTGCGACAGGAATAACTCCGACATAGACTGCCCCCGTGCCGTAGCCGACTGCGTAGACCTTCCAAGGCCGCCCAGTAAACATGAAGTGCCCGCAAACCAAACCTGAATCGTATCATGCCTGAGGTCACTACCCACTTTATCGGGCCCTCTGTTCCGGAGCAGAGCAAGAATGGCAGCTTCTGCAAGAACGCGAACTCGCCCAAAGGCACGCCGCCTCGAACAAGGAGAATCGCAAGTCGCAAGCTATGCCAGGCTAGCTGAGACAGGGAATGCCTTGAAGCCTCCCCTGGCCCACGTTGTCCCTTGCCCGTCCTTTGTCGACCAGCTGACAGCGCAGAAGGGCCGCCGATTCACGGGCGCCACCGATGAAAAAGATAGTCAAAATCTTGAAGGTGGCGCCGGCACCTCGGCTTCCATCCAGATCTGCCGCGCTCTGAGTGGAAACGCGTCAGCGCAACAATGAGGAACCTTTCTGCATAAGTCTGCTGACTTTGCACAGGTCCCCTTCTCAACGTCTTGGCAGGCCACCCACAGAGGGCTGGAAGATCTCCAGCAAACCGCATGCCAGAAGCATGACCAGGGGCGCCATGGGGGATGCCAACGCAGACGCCAATCGCACTTTGTCACCATCCCAAAGGCATTGAAGCCTAAAGGCGTCCTGCAGACTGCGCACTGTCGACATCGTGTTGACTCTCATTAAGACCAATCCAAAAGAGCAACCAACAAAAACCACGTATTGGCTCTTCGCACGAACACGACATGATAGCCCTCTATTCTGCTGTCCTGCGCCTGTGCCAAGTTCAGCTGCAACGCATCCACGTAGGTGCGTTCCCAGAAGGATTCGCGGGAAGCACCTGATGCGGAGTTTATCCAAAGTCAAAAGGGCCGAATCACAGCGCCTCCCCCTTATCCATTCGTGAAATATGTTCAAGGATCACATTGCCGCTGTGATGTTGGGGCGAAGGAAGCTAGTCCGAGTTGGGGCGAATGCGTAGGAAGTCACAGCACAACAGAGCGAATGCAAAGACACTGCTAGCTGCATTTCAAGCCGCCTACGAAACCAAAACCGAAACATTTTGCTGGCCAAAGTTCCGGGCCTTCACCGGTGGACGGATCTGGCGCGAGCGCTGCCAGAACCCCGTACAGCTGAGCTACTTGCAGAAGAACCACCGCCTGAAGCGCGGCAACTACGACAAAGTGATCCAAGTCAGCCCCCGCCTGCCGAGCAGCAAGCTCCTTCAGGACGTGCCACTTCACGTCGGCCTGTCCAAGCTTTTCACCAGTAGCGAGAACCGTTTTCGCCTCCAAAGGCAACTTCCTTCTGAATTAGACACCCCCACGCTCCCCCGGCCTGTCTCCAGTACTCGGTCACCGCGCCGCGCGACAGCCACGCCACGCCCGCCAGGCCGAGGCCGACGGCGGCCACGGCTGCGGCCATGCCCCAGAGGTGCAACTTGTCCTCTTGGGACGCCTGGCACTTCTCGCACGCGCCCTTGGTGGCATAATGCCCAATGGTGCAGGCAGCGCACAAGACCCCAGTTCGTCCTCAGGGCGAGGGTCTGAAGCACTTTGAACCCTGCGGACTTGGCCACACCGCCAAAACTTGGCTGCTCATGAAGGTCAGCAATATACAAAAAACGGAAGCAATGATATCCGCCATGGAAATCCATCTCGGAAAGCCATTCCCAAAGAATTATCCTGAGGTTTGATGCTTGCAGCCAAAAAAATGTGTTGCATCCCGATTGCCGGAAGTTCGACTGAATCCGTGGCCTTCTGAACACATTGGCTTCGCCGGGTCAGGCGGCAGCTGCCCACCAGAACAAGCCACGTCACTGAGGCACTGAATTGCCCTTCCCTCCCTGGTCCAGTTCAGCTCGGCTAAGCGCGTCTCCGGGTCGATGGGCGCCATCCAACCTCAGCGTGCTTCGACGCAGGTGACGTCTCTCTTCAAGGCACCCTGACCTGGTTGTCATTTGCACGCTCTGACGGAATTTCCATAATCCCGTCCCTTGCAGTCAGGGCTCCCTTTGGCATCTCCAGCTTCTTGTTGGCGCATTTCCAAATTGCTGGACACGGCGTGCAGCCGGCAGCCGCCCCCTGCTGCAGCTGGAATTCTCCCCCAGGGCACTTGTAGCACCCGCGGGAGACCCAGCCATCCGCGTCAGATGGGATGTCCGCGATCCCAGATCCGGCACGGCAGAGGGGCCGCACGAGGTCCGTGGCATTTTGGTACCTCGGCGGCCGACTTGTTCAAGTCCATCTGAAAGAGCAGAGCCCAAAAAGCTCCAAAACAGCCACCCCAAAAAAAAGGAGATTTGAAACCCCCAGCTGCTGCCCTGTGCTTTCCTCAGACAGGGCAAAAATTGGAAAAAAGGAGGAAGCCTTCAATGAACTCAAAAAGCTGACTGACATCTGTGAGCCACATCTCTCTGACATGAAAGCCGCAGTCGACTTCGCCGCAGTTCGCCGACTTCACATCGATTGCCCCGCTCCACGCCTTCAGTTCCAGGGCCCACTTGGACGGTCCGGCGGTCAGCTCCTGCACCGCCAGGAGGCCACCAAGCACCTGCACCGCTGGGGGCTGGGCCTGTGACACCCAAAGCGCGCCGAACGTGGCAGCGCGCCCACTGCTCAGCACCGCAGGGCCGCCATCGTTCCGCAAGGCCTCCACGTGGCCAGCCGCAAGGACACCGCCGCTGGCCGCCGGAGCGCTGCGCCCTGCAGCCGTGGCACTCGAGGCGCCCTGCCGGTCCCTGCCGGAGGCTTGTGACGCCGGCGCCGCCGCCTCTCGGGCAGAGGACTGGTGCCCCGCACACCCCCGCAACCCCTTCGTGCCTTGGCTTGCGCTGCATTCCTCCAAGCTGATCGTGCCGTTGGTGGAAAGCTCTTGCGCGGCCAGTCCTCTGCGCATCTGGCTGCATGAGCAGGCATGAACAACCCGCTCTTTGCGATGCGACACAATGGCAACTGCAAGCTGTTTCCCAGGCAAGTTTCTTCACAACACAAAGCCTTCAGGGCTGACAGAAATAAGTGAGGCAAAACAGAGCAGGCCGGAACCTCCTCTGCAAGCTGAGCCGCCTCCTCCGCCTTCTGAACGGCACTGTGTGACGGCCATCTGGCCTCCAGCTTGGACCAGACTGCCCTTCACGTAAAGGCCTGCACCATGCGTCGGGCAAGTAGCGCATTACAACTCATGTTTCCGGGCTTGGAGGCATTGCCCAAGGTGGGCAGTGAGTGATTGCGAGTCCTGAGCCCTTTTCTGCCGCGGAACGAAAGGAGGCTCATAGGGCACCAAGCGCCGACGACCCGCCCTGTCCTCCTCCGTATTTTCTAGCTTCACAGCCCGTGAAGCGCATCTCCCCGGCCCTGACGAGCGAGGAAATCCGACCAGGCAACCCTTTGGTCCAAGGCCCGCCGCTCCTTTGGTGCAGGCTGCCCAGCGCCGCGCACCCCCCAGCAAAATTCGCTCTGCAGCGCTGCAGCTCCAAAAGCCCCTCCTGCCAAGGAGACGCCACCACCATAGCTGGCAAGAAAGAATGCAAACGCCCAAAAACACACAAGCGACTGAACCTGCAATCACGTGGAATCAACGTAGCGCAGCCTTGGGCTGACTCTCAAATAGTTTGGGCCGCAATCACGCCGCAACCCTTGCACAATGCTCATCTGAGTACTCAGGAACACCTTGATACCCAAGCGGGCAGACCAGTCGGTCTGAGGAAGAGAAAACCCGTCGGCTTCAGCCCGTCCTCCATGGACAAGGAGGTGGCATTCAGGCAGCCGCCCTGGCCATCCTTTGCAGAATTCCGGCAGTGACGCACCACCACAGTGCCGGAGACTGTCAGGACGTCTGCCACTTGGAGGCAAGCCTGCGAAATCCGCCGCCGTGGAGAGACGGCTGCAGCCAACAAAGTCAAACTTTGTTGAGCTGGTTGAAGAAACAGACAGACAGGAAGCTGAAACGAATTCTCTTGTGGCTGATACGCCAATCTAATGCAATTGGATTGGAGATGATGGGAGCATCAGGACAACAGAAACGCTTGAAACAGGGAAACTCAACGATCGGAAGCAGCGATGTCAGCCAAACGGATGGGCAAGAAGCGAGCTGAACCACATAACGCCTCATTGGATGAAATGCTCCGACGTATTTCATCCAAGGCCATGGCCCACAAGACAACAGCCAGGCCACAAAAGACATCAGCATCTCTTTGTGGAAGCTATCAAACGGCAAGGCGCCGGAAAGGCTGGAGCCGTGGCAACGTCTCTTGGCCCCGCCTCCTCAAACTTCCGGTTCCTGCCGTCAAAGGAGGCGTTGCCCCGCACCGTGAGATTCCCACGCACGATCAACGCCCCGCTCAACAGAACCTGGCAGCGGCCGCCCGGCATAGCGGTTTCATTGACTCAAATCAAAGGGGAAGGTTTGTTGCCCTTGAAAACCCTTTTGGGGATTCTCATGCTTGGTGCCCTAATTCGATGCGAAAGGCACAGCTCATGGGGCGAAGCCGCAAACGCAAGCAACCAGCCAGCAACCAGTTGGAGGAGGCTTCCGTCACTGGGGGGGAAAGGAGTGCTGGCCCACGTTGCAACCACAAATGTCAAATCCTGACATGGGCTCTCCCACAGGCCACCTCAAGTCGGAGAAAAAAAAGGCGATGTCCTGCCTTCACATCCGTCCCAGCGCCAATGGTGCAGTCCTGCAGCTGGAGGCCTGTTTCGCTCACTATGTACCAGCCGCCCGTCTTCAGCTCGTCGCAACTGTCGGGGAACGCCTCGCGGCACGATTCGTCGAGGACCAACACCGAGCCACTGAAAACTGGATGCGTCTCCAAATCCTGCTGTTGCCTCCAAAACATTCTTTCCAAGCGCCAGACAGTTGCAATCTTGAATATTGCTTTTCACTCTTGCCATTTCTCGTGGAAATTCCACGAGAAATGGAAAAGAGAATGTGAGCGGGGCTGGGGTTAAAAGCTGCTCTAATCCCCGTTCTCTATATCACGCCTGTAAGCAAGTCTGGATTCATGGACAGGTCACACACGGCAGATAATACATCTCTCTTCATTGTCTTTCTTCAACATCCAAAAGATCGAGTCAATGGCAATATGAAAACAAGGGTGAAGGAATATGACAATAATATGCTTCTTATCTTTGCAGATTCTTAAAGTTATACTTCTAATTCAACCATACGATAGAAGCATGTACATGTGTTGATCTACAACTTTGTTTTTAGCATTGTAAAGAAATCTTAATGGTATGTCTATTCTAGTCGTTTACTGCTTACTTTTTGCTTTTCTTTATCTTTGTAATCTATTTTCTTCTAATTTCTTTACTATGTGTGGTTTTCTTCTATATTGGCAGCACACATGATGAAACACCTCTATGTATTTACTTGTTTTTTGAAACTTATCATACTTAACATCCACAAGAGATTTATTATTCTGTATTTATCTTTTCGTTTTGCTGGACGCCTTCTTTCTTGACTACAGCGAAGAGGCTCTGGACATCTTTTTACCTCTCATTCTGTCTCTCCCCCGTCTCGCCATCATTTCCGAAGCATGCTGGTCAACGAAGAAACCAAACAAAGAGAAAGATTCCTGGACAAGGCGGGGCAGCGCGCCTGCAGTGTTGGCAGAGTTGGCGGCGGCGGAAGGGCGTTGGATACCTGGGAGATCATGCCGTGAAAAGTCTACAGTTTAACAATGTACCTTCCAGGTCTTCCAAGCCATTCCCTCACTATCAAATATTCAGTCTTATTTCTTTCTTATTTGATGTCTTTAGGAATTCCCGTCAATGAAGCCATGCAGTCTGGGGAATGCATTGCAAAGCGCAACACCCCGTCATGCCCAACGATGAAGCTGATTCGCCCTGGCGCCTTATGAACCCGTTCTGCCGCGGTCAGCGCCGCCAGAACAGCAGCCCAGGCAAGGGGCTGCCGAAGCATTGGGGTGACACGGACCCACACGAAATGGATTTCACAGCCTGGATACTGCGATGCTCAGGTGTAGCGGCCCATTTTGAGACAAACCTCCTGGTTCCCGGTTTTTTTCAAGTAGGCGAGCCACCTAGCTGCACAGCTTGACTACATGCTTGCAATGATGGGGAATCAACCATAGCTGCTGACGGGTGTTGCTGCCTTTGAGGAGGCACATGAGTTCTAACCAAAATGCTGGCAGGCACAAAACATCTCGTAGTCCACCCAAAAAGCCGGGGGTGGACAAGCCAATTTTCCCGTGTCCGGGGCTCACACGCTTGTCTTGGGCATTCCCGCTTCAAATGTCTTCAGTCGAAAAGAAAACCTTGTCAAGGTTCAACCGACATTTGAGACGTGCATTTGCACACATCTTCCTGGGGTCACTTCTGAAAACTTGATCAATTAACGGCGACCGAAAGGGTCTCATGATGAAGGATCTTTGCATTGGCATGTTTCTGCACAAATTTCGGTTAGCTCCCTGATTGGGAAGTAAAACAAATTCGCTCACTCCGAACTGCTCTTGACGGCCTGTGGGCAAACCAAAATTCCCACACAAGGGGTCCGAGCGTCGACGGGCTGGCGATCTGCCTTAGCAAGCTTGCCGCGACACAAGACATTGGACGTTCCTGGTTGGGCCAACGCTCGCGAGGATAGATGGCCGCAAACGTTGTGAGTGAAGCGATGGAAGTATAGGTATGGTAGCCATGTCTGTATCCTGCCACATTATGGCTCCGCCAGCACAACTTTTGCTAATTGGCAGTGGAGAGAGCAATGCTGGCGGCAAATTTGAGCCCAGCCAAACATAGCAAGGAGGCGATCTATCAGGTCTTAGCCAGCCGCTCTGGACACTGCATCGGAAGTTGTGGCAGGCATGCCGCAAAATCACACTCCGCGTGCCAGTCTGGGGCTGTGAACAATGCAGGGAGGACGGTCGCATACGACCCTACCCGCCGGTCACATTTGACCCTACCCTACTTTGGCTTCAAAAACCATGCCAACATGGCAGCGTAAAGCTCCAATTCCACGACATGGCCACGCGAAACGCACCGGTCACATTTGACCCTACCCTACTTTGGGCTTAAAATCAGTGCCAAGTGGCAATACTATGTTCCAATTCCACGGCAGGGCCACGCGAAACGCACCGGCCACAAGCGACCCTACCCTACTTTGCGTTCAAGCAACGTTGCCAGCTGGCAACGAGATGGCAGCATCAAGCTCCAATTCCACGGCAGGGCCACGCGAAACGCACCGGTCGCATTTGACCGTACCCTACCTGACGGTTTCTTGCCAAATGCGTCACTTTAGGTCTTGAGGCTTTTACATCGCTTTCAGGTATAGTCATCACATCACTTTAGGGCTTTCTGGTTTGCTGTCACTTCTTTAGTTAGTCACCACATCACTTTAGGGTTTTCTGGCTTGCTGTCACTTCTTGAGGTAGTCACCACATCACTTTAGGGTTTCTGGTGCGCTGATCACTTTAGGGTTTCTGCTGCGCTGTCGCTTCTTCAGGTAGTTACCACATCACTTTTAGGGTTTCTGCTGCGCTGTCACTTCAGGTATAGTCACCACATCACTCTAGGGTTTAGGGTGTAGCTGTCACTTCTTCAGGTAGTTACCACATCACTTTTAGGGTTTCTGCTGTGCTGTCACTTCAGGTATAGTCACCACATCACTCTAGGGTTTAGGGTTTAGCTGTCACTTCTTCAGGTAGTTACCACATCACTTTTAGGGTTAAGGCATGTCGCACTGCTCCTAGCTTGAACCCAAACATGAAACCTCGAAAGAACAAAGCTCGTCCGAAGCGGCCGCAGTTCTTTTCACCGGGATTGCTGAAAGTTGCACTGCTTCCAGGGCACTAGTGCGCCTGGAGCAGGAGGCACATTGACCCCCCGAAATGCGAAAAGGCAAGACAATGCGTGTCCTTGCGGGTAAATGCAGTGCTTGGGGGGGCGCGGCACGCGTGCCCACGCCCCAAGGTCCGGAGACCGACAGTCCGGAGACTGGAGGTCCGGAGACCGATTATTGGTCCGGAGACCTAGTCCGGAGACCACGGTGCCCGGAGGCGACCCACGAAAGTGCAGAGAAACTGCCGTCTATCCTGGCAAAGCCTGGCATAGGGCAATGCAGGGTGGGTGGGTGGGTTTCGAAATGAAACCGCAGGTTTGGGTCAAGGCTAGGAGCAAAACGGCCAACGCATAGTTCGATTCACCACATGCCCTAAACACAAGGGAAAAGAAACCCTAAGCGTTAAGGCATGTCGCACTGCTCCTAGCTTGAACCCAAACATGAAACCTCAAAAGAACAAAGTTCGTCCGAAGCGGCCGCAGTTCTTTTCACCGGGATTGCTGAAAGTTGCACTGCTTCCAGGGCACTAGTGCGCCTGGAGCAGGAGGCACATTGACCCCCCCTTCAGTGTTTCAGTCAACCCCGGTAAAAGCGAACCAGCTGGGCCGAAGGCCTCTCATCACCCGCCCTTCAGAGTGGGGTTGTACCTGGCAGGGCAGATGTTATGGTCACCATGCACGCTGTGTTGTGAACAGCTCGGCATGCGGTGACTGCACTTTTTTCTGGTCAGAGCGGCTTGTGCAAGCGGCTGGCTGACATTGCCAGTTGTTCTGGCTGACAAGGCAACGGCAGAAAATGGTTCAGAAGGCCAAGTCGAATGCAGGCTAGGCTGGCTTTGCGACGATGGACGCTGCTGCCAAATGTTCCGGACGCCAGGGCGCATGCATCGGACACAGTTGAATGCCTCGGCCTGACATCGCCAGGCTTGCAGGGCTGAAGCGCATGCGACTTTCAGGGCGATGGCTGAATCGGGCCAACCGACCTCTGCTGAGATCGTCTGCCCAATCATTGCACCTTCCTGGAACGTGCGTGGGCTGCAGCAGCACGTTGTGAGCGTGAGCCCAGAAGGCTGTTAACTGCACAAAAAGTTGCAACGGCCATGAGGTCGTGAACAATTTGTTAAGGCTTGCTTCCGTGGCGGAATTGTCCGTGCCGGACGGCACGCTAAACGAGTAGTGCCCACCACCAATGTGGCTGTGGGTTGCTTGCAGCAGTGCTAACTGTGCAAGTGTTTCAAAGCATGCGATATACCGCTGTGCTGGCTTGACAAGGCAAGGCCACACTGCTCTTATGTCTTGCATGTTCCAGGTCTCGGCGAACCACACCACTTGGGAGGATGTGATTGCCCAGCCGCCAATCCCCACCATTTCATCTTCAGCACACGCGTCGGCGGCAGCCAGAGCTTGCAGCTGGCGTGGCCGCGCCAACGGCTGAATGGGTGAGTGTCGAAAGCACGACGCCAGCCAAGTAAGGCACTGTTGACTCGACTTGGAAAGGCTGGTGTATGGGTTATTGGGGTCCGCGATGCGCACCCATGTGGGCTTGCTAGTGCCAGGCACTCGCGGAATGTCTTCAAGGCAATGCAAGGTGCGGCCTGAAATTTCCAAGATTTTGGAGCCCGCTGTGATCCACAATCCCGGCAGGCTGTGACCAGTTTTGAGGTCCCTTGACAAGGATGCTCGAAAGGCCGACCACATTTGCGGTGGTATCATGGAGCCTGGTGGGCTGTTGAGGTCCGCGTAAAGCGGTGCCAGCCAGGACCTAAGGTGCAGGGCAACGCTGGTGGCCCAAATCAGCAAACCTATGCACTGCTCGAGTGTCTTGCGAGGCACACGTCGGCTTCCCAGCAGGGATTTGATTAAGGCGTCCAGCTTGGCCAGTTTTGAGGACATGAGCTGGATGGTGTCGTGAGAGAAGTGGATCTCCCAACCGCACCAAACCAGGCTATCCTGGAATTGCACCTTTTTCCACGAAATGGGTGCTGCAATGGCACAAAAGAAGAGCACCACCAAGGCAAACATGTCTGGTGCGCTATCCCGGACGAGTGCACAGAGCAGGTCGTCCACGAAGAGAAAGGCTTTGTGCGGCTTCCAGGCTAGCAACCCATGCACTTGACGAAGCAAGAAAGCGCCGGTGCGCTGCCACCAGAAGGCCGAGAAACGGCCCCCAAAATGGCATACCCTGTAATGGTATAGCTTCCCTTGAAAGGCGAAGAGAAGAAGGCCATGTTCCTCTGGGCGGACCTGCACTTGTTTGTGTGCGGCTTTGAAGTCAATGCTGGCGCCGATGAAGGCACCTGGAGTGTCCTCTGGCTGCGTGGACAGCGCCAAATCAGAGGCCATGGGCAAGCTAAGGCGCTCTGGCAAATGGCATCTGGTATTGACCTGGCACACAGTGCTATCCAAGACAAGGCGAGGTTCTTTGCCTTCGGCGAACACGACATTAAGCTTGCCCACGGCAATACCTAAGGGCCATTTTTCCCGAGCGTCGGCTATGCTAAGGCTGGTTTCAACAATCCAGTTGTTAGCAATTTCCTTGCGCAGCAAACCTTGCACGGTTTCTGGCTCGTCTTCGGCCATCTTCCAGTTGCCTTCACAAATTTCCAGATCCGGCTGCGGCATGGAGTCTGGCTTCTTCGCTGGCCACTGAAGGCTTGGAGGCAAGGCTGATACGGCTCCTGTTGGCACTCCGTGCTGCAAAAATGGAAGGAGGGCCATGTCGGGGTCACCCCAAGATTTGGCCAGGGCATGCAACAGGTGGAGTCGGTATGGTTGTCCTGCTTCGGGGCTCATATCTGAAGGGCAGGGCAGTTTTAAAGCGGTATACGCTAGAGTTGCCGCTTCCAGGCTTTCGGAGGGCGAGAGCGGGCAGTCCGAGGAACCGCTGTTGACGTGTGCCAGGATACGTGGCACGAGTTTGCGCTCATGCATCCAGTGCAGCCAGGGCCTGGCGACTGTCTGCAAAGGGTGCTCGGGCTTGGGGAGACACCTGAGGAGTGCATTCCCGCGCCATCACAGGTGGGGAGCCTGCAAGGCGCCAAGGTGACGGTGCTAGGGCAGTTAGAGTGCAGCGGCAGCGCTAGCCGGAAGGAGCCTGTTTTACTTACCCTTCCTATGCCTATTTGG